AAGGCTGGAATCCTCTGAACGCTGGACAGGAGCTAGAGGGTCCTCTTCTAAGGTGGCTCACTCATGGGATGGCAGGTTGGTGCTGACCCTTGGTTGGAAGGCTCAGATCCTCTCCACAGGCTGCTTGAGGCTCCTTACCACACGGCAGCTTGCTTCTCCCAGAAAGAGTGATCCGAGGGACCAAGCTGGAAGCAGTGATGTCTTTAATGAGTCCAGCCTTAGAAGTCACACACTGTCTCTTCCACGGTATCTCTCCTCGGTCACCTAAGTCAGCTCTGACTCAGTGTGGGAGGGGACTGCATGAGGGCATGAATCCCAGTTGGTGAGGATCATTCGGGCCATTTTGGAAGCTGGTTACCACGGTCACTGAGAAGATTATACTCAGACTACCTGGCAACTCCCTTAGGGATGTGTGTTACTAGACAAGAGTATTCAACCCATCGGCACAACCCTACCTTCATCACAAGGCAAAGGACTTGAAGCCTTTGTGCTCCAGTCAGAGAGGTCAACTGATGCACCTAAGCTACTTGGCAAGTGAACTAGGTAGAGGCAAGATGGAACCACGAACTGCATGTAGTTCTTGGAATTCAGGCATACTGTGGGACCTCGTGCCTGCTGGGACTGGACCCCCGAGAAGGGTCACATTGCAGTGTTTACATACTCTTGTAATAAAAGTTGGGACCCTGCTGTTTTGGGCCACTAGAGTTAGCTCACATCCTCTCCCCGCTTTACACCCCCCACCCCCTCCTCACTGCATCCTCTAACTTCTGGTTCCTTCTTTTGAAAAGACAATTTTGTTTGTTAGCTGAAAGAGAAGGAAGTACTCTTGGGAGGAAGGGGGTAGGGCAGTAGGAAACGTAGGAGCGGCTTCATGGCCCAAATGAGCAAGACCCACACCATGTATGACTTGGGGGGAGTCAAGTATTCTCCCTCCCTTGGCACCAGCCCCTGGTGTGGCCTGGGAAGTTACAGTGGAACAGCAGGGCTGGCTGGCAGAGGTGGTGCAGAGATGTCCTTCCATCAAATGGCTTGCGGCTTGTGGATTTCCATGTCAAGACTCATAGAGAATAATATGATCAGACTCGTTACTGAGCAGACCCACCACTGGGGGTCTCATAATGGGGGGTGTCAGTGGTACAAAGCCTGGAATAATCAGGAGAAGCCGGGGAGTTGAGGTTCAGAGGTTAATATTGTTGCATCCTCACTAGCACCCACAGGCTAGAGAAGCCAGGGACAGTTTGGGTCTACTAACAATACCCAGCCACCAAGTTCAAACTACAGTTAGGAACTGTGCTGACACAGGGATGCTCTTTCCTACCCTCCTCCAAAGACAGTCATTTTTCTAACCCTTGGGTTAGAGGCTTACTCAAACCCCTTGGGAAACAGAGGCAAGAATAAATTTGTTTCCATGGATTGAGAATCTTGAGAGCAACCGTTGGTACCTCAAAATGGCAGCTTTTGAGGAGCATGCAGATTGAAGGCTGCTGAAGTGTACAGTGGACATGGGGTGACACACCAGGAAGCAGGGGTCAGTGGGGAGTCGGCGCCCTTCTTTGTCGGCAACCCTGACCTCGGTATCCAGCGCAATGTCACTGCGGAAGGCTTGTACCCCTCCCAGTCTCTGCTGAGAGTTGGGATAATGTTGATATTTCTTCTCTCCTGCAGGTGGCGCCACAATTTAGGTTTTTAAGCCGCTGGCTGCCTGCAGTTTTCATCCAGCGCTCTAAACACGGTGTAAAACCCAGCCTGGGGGCCAGCTCTTGAGGGGGAAAATTCTCTATAGCACCACCAGGCTCCGGTGATTTATTTAACAAGCAAATCTGGCTTTTATCAACTTAAATAGCAGTTCTGTTCCTAGGCTAATAAAATGGTGGTAGCTAAGCGAAGGGAAACAAGGATTTCTTCTCTGCTCTCCTATTAAGCTGGCCCTTTTATTCAGCCATGAGAGATGAGCCAATACTTTTCTCCTCAAACCCCTCAATAAACCACAATCGAACTGCCACAAAAACAGCCTCTTTGGAAACAGGGCTTTACAAAACAATATGCCATGTAGCTTCTCCCCCTTGTGGCCATGGGTCCAGGCAATGACCTACCCAGCTCCCTTGCTGGGCTAGAGGTACAGAGGGCGACTTCCAGACCCACAGTCAGCAGGAGAAAGCTTGCGTCCCTCTTTGCCCCTCACCAGCTCGCAGGGGTGAACGAGGGAGGTGAAGGAGGGGGCGGGATTCGTACCTAACACAAAAACCCACGTTGAACCCTTGTGGAGGGGGCCTTTGCCCATGTGTCTGTTCATAGAGAAAAGTCAAGGCCACATAGGACCTTCCCGCCTTCATTGCATCGCGCCACTTGAAAAAAGATGTGTTGTTCTGAAAAGCATTGCTAATTCCCTATGCGTGTATTGCACTTACCTTAGCGTTTCCAAACACAGGCATACATAGCATCTCCTTCGAATGTCACTGGCCCTAAGGGGTCCAAGGGTTAGGTGGGAACCCAGGGTGCCACTGAGAAGACATGATTTGCCTCCAATTATAAAGCCGGTGGGTGGCACAGCCAGGTCTTCTAACGTCCAGGCCCTAATCATCCCACCCCATCCCACTCTCCAGCCTTGAGAGAGATGGCCAAGGGGCTTGGATTTTTTAAAAAAATTATCAACTTGGGCCAGTGAAGCAACATCCTCCACAACTAGACTGAAGACCAAAACGACAGCAACTTGTCTGTTCCCCTTCCCCAATTCCCCAGCGCTGTTCCCATCCCCCCAATTCCCCAATAAAAATCTTAAAAAAAATTATCATTAAAACAAAAAGCATAATTAAAAAAAAATCGAGTCCCACACTGTTGTTAATTTGACCCTGCCAGTTCTTCCTTACCATGACATTTTTACTGCCGCTGCTGCACACGTCTCACCCATGTTATTAAATGGAAGCCCCCATGAATGACAGGAGAGCCGGCTGGGGCCCCTCACCTGCCCATTGTTGGGCCAGCTTTTGGTCCACTTCCTCCCTGTCATTTGGCTCTTCAGGCACCACATGGCATTCGTGTCTCTTGAGTGGAAATAAATGACATCCCACACCAGGCAGGAGATAAAGAATAATAAATACATTTTATTTGCCACCTCTAAAATAAAAGGTCTTTGGCTTCCCATCCATCCATCCATCCATCAGAAAATGGACCTGGAGCCCAACAGCTACCGTCACGCATACACATACATGCGTGAATGTACACTCACAGGCGACAAGGAGGAAAAAAAATCAAGTTGTATTAAAAATGCATGCTAGAATGTCTGAGAATGGAAGCAAAGCTGTTTTCTCACTTACCCCCTCCCGTTCAGCATTTTTATGGCATACCCTGAAAGCCAAGTGGCAAACAGACATTTGAAAGGATCCCCTCCACCTCCCACCCCTGCCCCACTTTTATTGAACCACATTCCTTAAGTAACCCATTATGGTTTTCCATGGTGCTATCTGCAGTGTCACCTCTGGGAAAAGCCTATGATGGTCCCATGCAGCAGTTGTAGAGAAGATTCCTTGAAGGGGGGTCCGGACTAGGGTGGGGACAGCCTAATAGGAGCCCGAGCACATGCACCTCCTTAAATTTTGCATCCTGGCCACCTCACTTGATTCGCCCTCGTCTCAGTCCTGCCAGGAGAGACAGTTGGCCCTCCGATCCCTCAGGCCCCATGAAGGTCCAATAAGCCGCAGCACTGAGTTATTTTGTTATGTTTCTCTGGACTTCCGAAACTAACCTGATATTGTGTGCTTTATCTAGAGTCTGGGATCCAGGGTTTCTGAGAAGAGAGGAGCCAGATCAATGTATTAACACAAGCTAATAAGATAACTCCTTGCTGCTTTCTGGGCCATGCAATACTCAGCAGAGAAGCAGAGGCTAAAAGGGCTCCACTCTGTCTCCTGGAAAACCCTTTAACCAGACAGCCGAAAGTCTGCTTCCCTCCTCCCTGGAGCCTGGCTCATCTCCTTCTCCCTGAAGCACCCACCTCTGGAGAGCAAAGCTTCAGCGAGGTCCTATCCATCTAGGTGGACCCCGCCTGACCCATGTTGCTGCCCACCTTGTGTCTTGTACAGCCGGCCAGTTCACAGCTGGTTTTAATATCTCCCCAGTTTACAACTATGATGTCTGTGCAAACGTAACCCCTACAGGTAGGTGTAGGAATTCATGCTGCTGTCAATCATTTCCACCTAATAGAAAGATTCTGAGATGTTTTTGATGGGAGGGACAGTAATGGGTGTGGAGGGGAAAAGGAAAGCAAAGGAAGAGACACGAGGCAGGAGGCCAGAAACCAGCGGTAGCAGGTCAACCTTGATTGCTGCCCACGCAAGGGGGTACCTTTGTGGGCACAATTGGTGGCGCTACTGCCCTGGGACCACGGTGGGGTGGGGTGAGGGGCGAGGCATAATTAGAGTGGGAATCCCTTAGGCTTCTCTTGATGGGTGGGGCACAATCCTAGAAGGACCTGGGTAGAGGTTTCAGAGGCCGTGCTGCCCACCTCCCATCCTGGCACACGTCCTCCCTGCCAGCCGGCTGTCTAAACCAGAGCATCATCGGTGATTTCTTTCTGTGGACTTCCGAAACTGTCCTGATGTTCGCATTGTCTGTTTTGGCTGTGGTGTAGAATGTAGCGTTTCCAAGGAGTGAGGCGCCAGGTCAGCCCCTTAATATAATCATGGCTAGACAAGAGCTTACCGGGCAAGCTCTAGGGCGCTTGGCCATTCAAGTTCTCTCACCCATGCCTTCGGTCTGTCCTTGGGTGCCGTGTGTATGGGGGGGGGGTACCTCGGTGGGGTGCTGGGGCGGGGCTCTGATTAGGAATGGGTGCGTGCACCTGTGTCACCTGAGCATCTTCGGGTCCCTCCGACCATCGGAGCCCATGTCCCCACCTTCTGAGGAGGCTGTGTGCCTCATTGCTGGCGAGTGCACGCCCTGCACCCCTGTCACCGTGTACGCGCTCTTCTTTGCCCCATATCGCCACTGGCAGCGTCGCTTATGGCATGCGGAGGGGACAAGGGGGAGGTCCGCAAACGTCCGTGCGGGGGAGCGCAGGCCAGGCGGCCGAGGCCCGCGCGGAGTGTGGGGGAGGCGCCCTCTGCCCCCTCTGCCGGCCGCTTTCGGTCTGCCTGGATGTCAGCCACGAGCTCCCAGCCAGCCAGAGAGAGCCAGAGAGGGAGCGGCGGCTGGCGGCGGGGAGGGGAAGAGGCGAGGCGAGGGAGGGAGGCAGGGAGGGCGGGAGGGAGGAGAGGAGGACCCAGAGAGCGCCAGGCAGCTGGAGTTTTTGCAGCGCTTGGCCGGGCTTCAATGCACAGCAGCAGCGAGCCGCGGCGGCAGCAGGCAGCCCGGGAGCTCCGGCGGCGGCCGAGCCAGCGGCAGCCCCGCTCCCTGCCCCCTGCAAACTTTGCGAGCAGCCCGCCCGGGGGGCCGGGGGCGCGCCCGGGAGGCCGGGCTCGGCCCGCGGCCGCACTCTCCGCAGCCGCAGCACCAGCCTCCGCCGCAGCCCCGCGCCTCCCCGGGGAGCAGCCGGCGGTTCCCGCGGCCCCCCAACCCCGGCCCCTCAGCACTGCCCGGCCAGTCCCCCAGCAGGGGCGGGGGCAGCAGCGGCGCGGCCGGCTGCGGGCTGCTGGGGGGCGGCCGCCGCTGCCCAGGGAGACGCGCAGAGGCGCCGAGAGCGCTCCCCGGCGGGTCCCCAGCGCACTCGCTGCGCCCGGGCAGCGGCCCGACCAGGAGAGCATGGGCGGCGCGGAGTGACGCCGCCGTGCCCGCTTGGCATCAAGGACATTCAGCCCGCGGGGGTGGGACGAAGGGGAACAGCCCGCGTCGCCGCTGCCGCTGCTCGGGCTCTGGTGCTGGGTGGAGGAAAGGGGTGCTTGGAATCGATCCACATTTTCCGACCTTTTTGTTGGACATTCGGCCCACGTTGGACGCTGCAAGAGGAGCTGTCAAGCCCCGCAGGCTCTGATTCCGCCCTCCGTCTTCCTCGCCTCCTCCCGGGCTCCCGGTGGCTCGGTGGAGTATTTGCGTTCCGGGCTCGGGCTGAGGAGGCAGCCACACGCGCGCACACGTTCAGAGGAGGGCGAAAGGCAGCGGCGCCCGCACCATCTGCAGTGTCAATGCGGCGCTCCCGCTGAAGGAGGCAACAGCGGAGCTTCTAGGTAAGGGGCTGGCGGGGCGGGCGGCGGGGGCAGCGCGGGCGGGGATACCCAGTTCGGTCCGGGAGTCCTCGGCTGCCCTGGAGCCAGCCCGCTGCACGCACGCACACGCACACACACACACACACACACACACACACACACACACACACACACACAGGCACAGGCACACACCGCGCACAGGCACCTGCCCACGTCGCACCTGGACACCCGCGGAGGTGCCGCGCGGCCACGGCAGGTATTTCCTGTGTTCTTTCTCGGAAGCTCCCGGACTACGACGTCTCTTCCCCGGGACTTTCAGGGTGGGAATCTGTGTACGACTGCCTCTCCCTCCCACCCGGGGTAGGCTGAGCGAGTGATTTTTTTTCTCCCCCAATTCCCAGCCCCCTTGCATCCCTAGCTGGTTTTCAAAACGGGAGAAGTAATGGGAGGTCTTAGGAGACCCGCCCAGTATCATCTGGGCTCTGTGGCCTTAAGACACCCTGGGATTTTAATGGTAGATAGACCGACAGATACTCAGACATTTGGAGAGTCTGGGGGCTCAGCGCGCGGGGAGGAGGCCACATCGGCGGATGGGGCTGCAGTTCTGGAAGGCGGCGCATATGGAACAGACACTGCGTTTCCCCAGTAAGAGGCAGCACCATCGCTTTTTCTGAAGCGTGGCTCTGCTTCCCCGAGAATGCGCCGGGATTTCAGGCAGGAAGGGGTTTAAGCACCGCTCCGGGTGGGTGTGTTGCTTGTCAAGGGAGAGTAGGGGCGTCAGATTCTCCATAAAAGGTATGACCTACTCACATCTGCAGTCTCTGGCCAACAGTAAGGACACAGGGCTTGGGGACACAGGTCTTGGGTCTCCCTGTTCACCTCCCCACCCTTCCTCTGCACTGTGCTGGAAAGCATCACCTTTAGTCTCTGTTATCACACTGTTAGCCTCTGGCTAACACCTTCACGTGCCTTTCCAGGGTGTGTGCCTGGGAAACAGATCTAGAAGGGGGGGTCCACGAGGGTATAACCCAGGAAGGGAGGAGACACCCCTCTCTGTTGACCACCTCAGCAGTGCCCATCCTGTAGGAGGCAAGACACTCTTAGATCTGCCAGCGTCCCCAGAGCCAGGCTGCTCCTGACGGCAGAGCATCACTTTCCAGAAGCCTGTGGTTCAGGGCTCTGTTTCCCGGAAGCTTTTCCTTCCTTGCCTTGTCTCCCTGGCTGGAGGTTCACAGGCTGCTGATTTTCAAACTTTTTCTGGAGGAGGTAGGAGATGGCTGGGGCTCCAAGAAGGCTTTTTCACAGTTCCCATGGCGGGAAGCGAAGACCAATCCACTCAGGGCTTGGCTGGTGTAGGAAGGAGAATGTGAGGTCCAAAGAAAAGGTTAGTTTGGAGTTGAATATAAACATAACAAGGTCCCATGTTTCTATAGCAGGCGCATGTCGGGCTAGCTTGTCGTCAACCTGGAAAGAAGTGGAATAAGCTTGTGCCCTCTAGACAAGATTATGTGTTCTGCAAACCCACCAGTGGCGAAAAAGATATTGGGAGTTTTCCAGAACCTTAGGGGAAAGAAGTCAACATGCTTTTTAAACAAGAGGACCTCGGTGTTGGGCACAGGATTTGGTTGATCCTGTAAACCCTAAAGATGGGTGCTGAAATGAAGAGCTCTCTCGGCAACCCCCCCCCGCTATTTTTAAACTTTTTTGCAGCTCCTGCAAAGGTCTCTAGCGAGGCTAGAGTGGAGAGGAGCAGACACCCCGGGAGGCAGATTGTATTCTGGCTGTGTGCTGTGTGATCTGCCCTTTGATTGATTGAAAAGGGTAGATGGAATAAAGCAAAGCTGTCACAATGGGGAGAGCCCAGGAGTGGGAAGAAGCATTATTTTCTTTTTAAGAATGGTGTGTGTGTGTGTGTGTGTGTGTGTGTGTGTGTGTGTGTACGAGTTCTCAAAGAACCTAGTTATACGTGGTCAGCGCGTCCAACCATGGGTGGCAGCAGAACCCACCTCTGTCTTCCGGGCTGTGGAAGAACTGGAATATTTCCCCACGCATGCCCCTTGAGAGCGTGGACAGGGAGGTCCCGCGTACACGTTGAGCGGCACATGGCTTTCAACAGAAATAGAGAACTCCAGCAACAGTGGGTGGCTCCCAGGTAAACATCCCCTCATGGGACCTTGAAGGGACAGAAAGATGGGGCGCAGAACTCCCTGAAATGCTGGTGCCTCTTGCCCATGGACTCACCTCCTTTCTCTGCCGCCCTCTCTACCTTCTTTTCTCATATATTTGTAGCCTCAGGATCTGTCATGTTAATGCAAAGCCAGCAGTCCTCATGCTGGTGATCAGCAAAAGATTTTTAAACATGGGTTCAGAAAAACATCCCCACAGTTTCCACACTTTGTGTCGGGTACCCATTTGGTTTCTAGGACAAAGCAGGCATTAATTAATGTCTGTTTCATTTTTTCCCTGGCTTTCTGGCCCAGCCCTGGAGCATGTCATGTTGTCACTCTCGCTCTCTACCACTCCTCTGTGGTCTTCCCTTTAAGTTCCCGGGGGTCCTCTCTCTCTCAGAAACGAGTTGCACTAGAAAAACCCAACTGTGAATGCTTTCTTTGGGCCGACCTTTGCTGCTGCTGGGCTGTGCTCTAGGCAGCTCTGCTGAGAGTGTGAGCTGTTCCTTCTTGCCTAACCCAGTACTCGCTTGCGGGCTGGGCCTCTGTCCTCCCAGAAGTTCACCCTGGATGCCTACCGGTGCTCTGCAAACATTTCCGGAGGAATCAGAGGGGGCCACCAACTTGTTCCCTTTCTCTGCACCTCTCCCGGTGTCTGCTGCTGCTGCTCCCTGCAGACAGGGAAATCTGCATGGCAGATCCGGCCTATACTTGGCCTCCTGATCCTTTTCATCGCAATGAGGGCTGCTGGGAATTAAGTGTGTGTGTGTGTGGGGGGGGATGGGGGGGTTGTGCAGCAGTCCTGAAGTGAGGAGAGAGCTAAGGGGGCGGGGTGATTAACGGTCCTCAGTTCCTAGTTATCACCAGGCTTTGATGCAAAGAAATTGCAGCCAATCTCTCTCTTGCTAGCCAGTTAGGAGGCTTTTTTTAAAAAAAGCTGCGTCTCCCCAGCCTCACCCGGAGAAGCCACTATACAGATAATGCCACCTCGGAGACCTGTTGGAGTGGCTCTGTGATGGGCGGTGGTGGGACGGCAGCCATACAGGAAACCGCTTGTGATCCGGGCTGTGATTTGTCTGTGCAACAGATGTGCCATTAATTTTTAGGCTCTACTCTCTTCTTATTATTTGTATCCAGTGCTACCCGATGCGAGACTGGTTCAGACGCTGGGGCGGTTGAACAGGGCTCCTGTCCCTCCCTGAAAACCCCGCTTCTTGCTTCCCCACACCCCCTCCCCTCCTCCGCGTCCCCACCACTTGCTAATCCACCTCCTGGCTTTGTGCGCATATCCGCCAGCCCGTTCGCCCTCAAATTTGTGGCACTCCGAGAAATCAATATAACATGAATTTAACGACAGCTGGATGATTAAGTGTTATTTATATTTAAGAGCGGCATTTTAAAAAGACGTCGTGCTAATAAATCAAACGGCTGTTGGGGAGATGCACGTGATTAGGGTAATTGCCCTATAGGCTACTGAGCAATGCGTGGCCCATGCAGAGCCCTGCAGCTGCAAGCCCCACTGCTCCCCACCCTGAACTCCCACCTGAACCCCTCCCTCCCATCCTGGGGGCTTACTCACTCTTCTCTCTCCCCTCCTCGCTGCCCAGGCTGTAGCGGTTCCCGTTGTGGCAAGAAGGTAGCCTCAGCAGGGAGACTGAAGGGGGCTCTGCTGCTTAGTGGTAAGAGATGGATCTTAGAAGTGGAGGCAGGCAGGGGCTTCTAATTCCCAGGGCAGAGGCCCGGTTCCAGAAGGAGGAGGCTGCTTCCCTGCTTGGTCTGAAGCAGCCTGGAAGAGAAGCTTCCTGAGTCCCTGTGTGAGTCCCTGCGAGCGCCTGACCCCTGTGCTACAATCATGGGACACCAGCCACCCCATGGAAGAGGAAGCTGTTAAGATCTGTCTTTGTGAAGTTGACAGAATGGGAAAGAATAATAGTTCATGATGATGATGACGATGGTGGTGGCTAATATTTATTGAGCCTTTTCTCAGGTGAGGCATCATTTAAGTTTCTTTGCACAGGTTGGTTCCTTTTCCCCTCCTAACAACACAGAGGGGCAGTTGCTATTACTATACCCACTTCCTCCAGGAGAGACCTGAGATGGGGCGGGTAAGGACTTTGTCCAAGATCACACAGCTGGTGGGTGGTAGAGCTAAGTCTCAACCCTAAGCAAACAAACTGACCTCCCTCCTTGTCACCACGCTGTTTGCCTCCTTAGACTATCTGTGAGGAGCATGCTGCCAGGCCCTTGGGAGGTTTGGGGGAAGAGTGTGCCGGGAAGTTTAGACTACCTGGATCCCCCTCTGGCCTACCTCTGTGACCCCAGGTGAATCTGTTTAACTTTTGAGGCTCATTCTCCCACTCATCAGAGGGGGCCGAGTCTCATCCTCACTGTTGGTGGGTTGTGAAATGGCGGGGCTCATTCTAGCAGAGCCTCAGTTTCCCAGGTGACTCTGGCCTCATTTGGCAAGTGAGGACTCCGCCCACTCGCTCCTGCGAAGAACTTAAGGAGTGAGTGAGTGGGGTCCCGATCTCTGCTTTCCATTCTGTAAGGCTGAGTCTTGTGCTGGTAGGAATCTCGTTGTCCCTGAATGACTGCTTCGAGTTTGCTGGCATCGGGGAAACACCTCTCTCCCATTTTATCCTTCAAATCACCCTGAAAGGTGAGGATTAGTGATTTCCATTTTGATGGTGGCGGAACTAAGGTGGAATGCCCCAAGCTCCAAGATGCTGCATGGTGGATGGTCTTTTCACTCTTGGAGAAGGATGCCCCCAGTCGGTGCTCAGTTAAGTTCATTCATTCATTCATTCATTCATTCACCCTTGGGTTCCAGATTTGAGAAGCCAAAAGCAGGGA